GGTTTGTCCCTTTTCTGTTGAGTTTCCCAAACTTGCTGATTTTTGCCTCTCACTGCAGATATGATCGTCTGATCTGCGTTATAAATGACGTCGTGATCTTCCTCTGACGTTGAACGAGACTAAAGCCATCCTCTCTGTCTGTGTCTCTGGACTGATAATGATCCACCTTTCTGTGCGGAGCGGAACATTCCTGGCCTTCATTAGTAACAGATGTGAAGGACGAGTTCAAAGTGTGTCCTGCGAGTGGAAAGCTGTGTGTTTGCAAGGTTTATTATTCGTGTATATGGGGACAGTTGTTTTGCCCGTCAGGAAACGGCTGGTGGATCATGAACAACAGCGCGTTTATACACAACACAACCCTGAAATATAACACACATTTAATATAGTCAGAAAATATCTATTGAAGGAGTAGTTCACTTTAAATAAAACTTTTGCTGATAATTTACTCACCCCCATGTCATCCAAGATGTCCATGTCTTTATTTCTTCAGTCGAATAGAAATTAAGGTTTTTGATGGAAACATTCCAGGATTTTTCTCCATATAATGGACTTCAATGGGGTCCAAACGGTTCAAGGTTTCAGTGCAAACTGTTCAAAGGGCTTTAAACGATTCCAGACGATGAATAAGGGTCTTATCAAGCGAAATGATCGCTCATTTAATAAATAAATAACAAACAAAGTTTAAGTTTTATAAGCTCAAATGCTCGCCTTGCTCTGTTCTGTGATGCGCGTTCATGACTCTCCTGTTCAAACTCGTTCATCAAAATGAACGAATCTTTTTTCGTGTCATTTGGTTCATTCAATGAACGAAATGAACGAGTTGACTCTGGAAAATATTTGTTCATTTTGATGAATGAGTTCGAACAGGAGAGTCACGAACGTCCATCACAGATCAGAGTAAGGCGAGCATTTGTGCTTATAAAACTTAAACTTTGTTATTTATTTTTTAAATGAGCGCTCGTTTCGCTTGATAAGACCCTTATTTGTCGTCTGGAATCATTTGAAGCCCCTTTAACAGTTTGAGGTTTGCACTGAAACTGTCTTTTGGACCTTGAACTGTTTGGTTCCCATTGAAGTCCATTATATGGAGAAAAATCCTGGAATGTTTTCATCAAAAACCGACTGAAGAAAGAAAGACATGGCCATCTTGGATGACATGGGGGTGAGTAAATTATCATGAAATTCAATGAAATTATGAACTACTCCTTTAACCTGGTTCACCATTCAAAAGTTTGGGATGACTTATTAATATTTATATTTTAATAACATGAAATCCTAAAAATGCTATAGCCTTTATAACTCAATGCACAATCCCTTTAACTGCGTGTCTGTGCATCTCTGGATAAACGTCTTTGGCAATTGACTTCTTGCTTTTGTGTACCTTATTCTGGTGTTATCAGTGAGTTTAGGATCATAGTGGATGAAAACAAGCTTGCATCAATATTATCTGATTAATTGTAGGTGTCACAATATATCACAATACAACTATGCAACAATATGTATTGTGTTGTGTATAGTTCACCCTAAAAAAAATCAATTTTACTTAGAGTTTTAGTGTCAGAACTACATTAAACTGCTATATATAATGTATATAATACAATAGGTTGAATATTAGTGTATTCTGATAATGCCAATTGTCTTGTTACCAGTAAAAAGTGCCCTACATTATTTACATATATCTAATCAGTGACAGAGCGCAAGCATATTCATCTAAAATAATTCTGTATTTTCATCTTCAGAATCATGAATATTGTTATTCTGGTGTCTCTATTGTCCTGTGCTTTGGGTTTCAGCACCAAGTCCAAGGCAATTCATTTTAATGAACAGTAAAAAAAAGCTTTTACCAAATGCCTTGGAGTATCGCAATATCGTAATGTGAGTTCAGTATCGAATCGTGACATGAGGGTTTCATTACACCCCTAGTTAGTTGATTGTTCGTCGAGGCTCATTTGTGTTCTGTGAGCTGATACTCTAGTATTGCTCTTTTGTCAACACTAAAAGAAGCTGCTCTGACAGAGGAAGCTCTGGACTTTATTTAGCACGAGACCTTCAGCACAGATGATCAATCATCACAAGACTTCCTTTTAATCTCTTCTCTGGGCCGTGGCGCTTCCCAAAACGTCTCCCAATCGGGTAGTGTGTGTGTGTGTGTGAAGCTTGTTTTTGTGAGCAGGTAAAGCAGTGAACGCTTTGACCCGGTTGGCACTGAAAACACACTTTAATCCGCAGGGTTTACAGACAGGAAGTGTGCTCGCCTATTCCTTGTCAGTGCTCAAAGACTGGGCTTTTACAGGAGACAGGCGTCTGCTCTTCTCTTTCTGAAAGACAGCAGATGCTCGCCCGAGGAGCCTGTGTCTGTCGTCTAAAGGTGTTTGTCTGCGATTTGGTCCCGTTGTGCAAGTGAGCAAGTGTTTTCCTAGATAGCTGCTTGCTGTTTGTCAAAGGAAGTGAGATTTTGAGGTCACTGGAACACGGCGGATAAACATTAGGGACTTCTGGAATGTTTTTATGCCGTTTAACGGCACAAGTTACCGTAGCGGCACAGTGACAGTGGAAAGACGCTTTTCATCTGTGTGAACTGAAAAATTATACAATAAAATGATGATAATAAAATTTCTTAGGGCATTAAATTGATTTATTATAGTGTTTTTATTAGGGATGCACCGATATGAACATTTTGGCCGATACCGATAACCGATAATTCTTTATATTTGAAAGCCGATAACCGATATATCGGCCGATAAATCTAAATCCAATTTTTGAAAGCCTGATTGCAAAAACAAAAGTCTCACAATTAAAATCCGTCCCCTAACACAATTATAATGTTCTCATTATAATTTCTTGTAGCCGATATGACGGCACATTTTGCACTTAACTATATTTTCCTTTTTGATTCCAATCATATTTCAAGCAATTAAGATCAATCCTGTTGAACAGTGCGCATCTTAAGTGTCTCAGGTGTCAAGTGTTGAAGGAAATAATTCATTATTTATCAGCTTTAATATATCAGCCAAATTTTATTATCGGGCCGATAACGATATAAAAATGAGCAAATATCGGCCGATACTGATATGGTGGCCGATATATCGTGCACCCCTAGATTTTATAATAATCAACTATCAAAGATATTTTTTCATCTATATTTTAACGTATACTTTTGTTCTGTTGTGCAGCACCGAATTAGAAAATGTGTTCAATGTTCTGATATTTTAAATCGGTTTCATTTTTTTTTAAATTTGAGGATTGATTAAATTGTTTTCTATTTTAAATTTAAGTTGCATTTTTGATTTCATTTAATTAATAGACACCATTTTTGATGATATATTTGCGTTAAAACACAAAACACAGAATCTAGAAAAAGTAAAACAGATTTGTGGTACATGTTCACAAATAAGTAATGTTTACATTCATTCTTTAGGTCCAACAAACATGTGAAAAGATCTCCTTCATAAATAATTGGATGAAATGAATATCGTCATGAATACTGATTTACTGAGTGTTTCTTGTATATAATAACTATATATTATGCATAATTAACCTTAAACCCAACCCTGAACCCCATAGTAAGTACATGTAGTTAATTATTATAAAACATAATTACAATACACTGTAACACGGACATCTTTAAATGGTGTTTCTGAATAATATTTTTGGCCTTTCTAAAATACAGTTTTTCTGCTAGTCACGGGTTGTCTTGTATAAAATGGTGTCTTTTTGTGTTCAATAATAGACTCTCCTGCACCTGTCTCTGTCACCTGAAACGTGGCGACTTGAGCTGTGAAAATGTGCAAAATTGTGCAGCATTTTTTCTTCTTCTTCAGCTTATGCAAATCTGACTGGACTCTTTGCATAATGACAGACCGAAACAACACGTCTCTCATGGGTTTTGCCTGGTGGTTTTGAATTGCAGATATTGTGATGGACTGTGGCCCTGTTCTGTTCTTTAGACAGTGGGATGCTGTGCTCTTTCGGATCCTATTGTGTTCTGTCAGGTTTGAATAATGAGGGTCGAACACTGATTTTTGTTCAAGGCCTATTGTGATTTGTTGTTTCAGTGCCTGTCATATACAAGTGAATACTAACTCATGCATTACTGTTGCTCATTCCAATTTAAAGGAACATGTAATATGAAATTTAGGGCTGTCAAACGATTAATTGTGATTAATCGCATCCAAAATAAAAGTTTGTGTTTACATAATATATTTGGGTGCATATTTACATTTATATATAATATAAATTATATATAAATCAATATATAGTATATACATGAAAATATTTCTTAAATATATACAAGCATGTGTGTGTATTTATATATAGAAAATAATTATACTCAGTGCACCCACAAATTTTATGTAAACACAAACTTTTATTTTGGATGCGATTAATCGGGATTAATTGTTTGACAGCCCTAATGAAATTAATACATTTTAGCATCTAAACATGCTCCATTTGACACGAATGATTCCTCAAATCATGTCTTGTTGAAGAGAGGTGTGTTGCATCAAGTGTTTATTAATATTTTGAATTTCATTAATTAAGATATTTTTTTTTCTCGCTACTGAAAATTAGTAGGAATTTGGAGGCGATGAAGGTGCTATTGTGTACGTTGTGTCCAAAGGGAGGCTTTTGACCTTTAATCAAAAACCCCTTGATTTGGGCTGTATGCAGTTGAGTGGTTTAATGACCACTAGTCAAGTCAAGTTACCTTCAGCACTTGTTCAATTGTACAGTGATAATAGGAAATGAGAGTAACTGATATTGTTTTGTCTTCACAGCAGCTCTACAATAAAGTTATTGTCCAGCTAGAGTTAGTTTTTGATTCATTCACTTCCACTTGGCGGCCGATTACACGACACCGTTTTAGATGAAAACCGAAGACTGTAATCAGTGTGGCGTTTGAAAACAAATGTCTGATCAAATCAATGCTTGGAAACAAATGTCAAAACACATCCTCCCTGTGAAATCTCACTGACGTCGTTCTCTCTTTGTCTCTTTCGCAGGAAACGACCGAGAGGCCTTACAGATAATTTGTGCTTTTGTTGCTGCGGTCCGCGTTTGCAGAGAGACCTCTATCTGGAAGCACATTTGTTTCCGTTGAGTATTAACTACCTCAGGCTCTGGAAACGGATCAAGAGGGAGCCGTCGATCTCGTGTGATCCCGTCTCGTCCCGATCCACTGTTCGGCCCTCCGAAAACCCTCTGACCGACTGGATCCGTCAGAGCGGCTCAGGCCACGTCACCCTGTAGCTCACGCCAATCCTCCGGTGTCACTGTTTTCCCTCTTCTGAAAATTCATATTGTTTTTGCTGACAGATTTTTAAGATTTTTCTATTTTTATTAGAGGCCTACGGAAAGAGTTCGGAAAGAAGGGTTTTTCACTTCCGTTTGAAGGATAGATTATGCACTTTTGGATTTTCGTCCAGAATTGAAGCTGTGCTTGTGATGTGCAGTGATTTCCCCTGCTCGTAAGGAACCAGTTCTAATAGAAAATACCTGAAGCTAATTGGAGTTTCACTGGGATATAAGTGGAAACGTTTTGATGTGAGCAGCGTCCAGAGTTGCAGCTGGGCTGCAAGATTTTCCTCAACCCTTTCTTTGCACCGCTCTCATCTCTCAGGAGTGGAATACTGTCATGACATGATCTTTAAGCTATCTATTTACTTGACTCCAGGAGACCCAAATTAGGCAGAGTACTTGTGCACATAAAAACAAATTCAAGAGTTGTCTGCTTCGTGAGGACCGACTCTTCCTGGGCACGTTGGACACTTATGTATTGTTGCAGTGCGCAAGAAAGTAAAATGGACTACAAGCTGCGCTTTTTGCTTGGCGGGTCCAAGCACAAAGTGCAGCAGCACCAGCAGTTCCAGTTGCCCGAACTCAGCCGGACCCTCAGCGCCCCGTTGGGCACGTCTTGCTCCACCCCTTCTCCCATGGCAACGATAGGCTCCTCCCCTTCCGGCTGTCATGCCCCGCCCCCAGGCGCTACAACTGCGATCGCGGACATCCAACAGGGCATCTCCAAATACCTGGACGCGTTGAACGCGTTCTGCCGCGCGAGTGCGTTCCTGACCGAGCTCTTTGGCAGCGTGTTTCGGGACTCCCGTTACTCCAAAGCGGCTATGCAACTGAAGGACGTGCAGGAACATGTCATGGAAACGACCAGCCGGCTCACCACAGCAATAAAGCCCGAGATCGGCAAAATGCTGATGGAGCTCAGCGCAGGCGCGGCTAACTTTAAAGACCAGAACGACTTCAGCCTGCAGGACGTAGAGGTAGGTCACACAACTACAGTCTGCACTGATAGTAATTAGGGCTGTCAAACGATTAATCGCATCCAAGATAAAAGTTTGTTTACATAATATATGTGGGTGCACTGTGTATAATTATTTTATAGAAATACACACACATGCTTGTATATATTTAAGAAATATTTTCATGTATATAGATTTATATATAATTTATATTAAATATAAATATTTTATATATAAATCATATTTTTTTTCTTAAATATACATGCATGTGTGTATTTATATATATATATATATATATATATACAAAATAATTATACACAGTGAGTACACCCACATATATTATGGAAACAAACTTTTATTTTGGATGCGATTAATCGTTTGACAGCCCTAATATTAATACATGCTGATGTTTCTGCTGTCGTATCAAGAATTTCTCTATCTATTTTGATATTATTATTATTATTATTATTATAAATATTGCGTTTTTTTGTTTTTTTGTACTTGACCATGGGGAAAAGTTAAATCATACACATACACTAACTTATACAGACTGTACATGATGTATAAGATGAGTCATATTTACAAAAAACAAAGCATCACATCTTTCTGACTTTTATTTCAGAAGCATCATACACAACTACATTCTTTTTTGACATTCAATGTAATCAATAAATGCGTTATTTTAAGAACCAAGTTTCTATCAAAAAGTGGGGTGGTGATGGCGCAGTGGATAAGACACAAGCCTTTGGTGTGAGAGACCTGGGTTTGAATCCACTGTGAGACACCAATTTGTCCCTGAGCAAGACACTTAACCCCTAGTTGCTCCAGAGGCGTGCGACCTCTGACAGCTTTGGATAAAAGTGTCAGCTAAATGAATAAATGTAAATGTATAAATGTCTATCAAAAGCTGGTTTTGAATGCTATCATAGACGTCAGAGTTCATATTTGAGCTTTAGACTTTCATCCAAGTACTTCTATGATAATTTGAACTATTGTATCTCAGAAATAATGCTATTATTATGATTTTGAAAAGAGTGTTTGTGAAGCGGTTTAATGACGACTCTCTCCGGGGCAGCGGCAGCGCCAACACCGCTTTGATGGTTCCGATATGAGTTTGTCTAAGGTTTAATAGACAGACGAATTGAAAGATCATCGCGTGTGTGTTTGAATCCAGATCAGTCTTTTAAAGATGAATCGTGCAGCTCTATTGTCTTATCTCTCAGTATATGAGTAGCGCGAGGGTTTACGCTTTGGATATTACGTCACTCAACACTCATAAATAATGACACATTTCATCCTCTGTTGGAACGAAAGTGGCTAACATATGTCAACCTCGTCTATAAGCAATTGAATTTGAATTAATATCGATTCTGGAATAAAAAATTGATTTTAAAAATCGCGATCGTTTCTATCAAAAGCTGAGACTACCAACTAAGGGGTTAAGTGTCTCGCTCAAAGAACAATTTTAGAAGGACTGGAATGCTTATAAATCCTGCGATCAAACCTCTTTATATAAATACAATATAGGTATGTCTAAATCCGGGTGATCACTTTATATTAATGTTATATATATCATCTTATCTTAGCCTTAACTTGTATCGTTCTTTGTCAGTGTTTATTTAAAAACATCTAATTCTGCAGAATATATGATGGTAAATATTTAATCGAGTTGTAAATGCAATATGGTATGATTTGGTAACACTTTACAATAAGGTTTATTAGTTAACATTAGTTAACTACATTAGTTAACGTGTACAATATGTGAACAATACTTCTTCAGCATTTATTAATCTTAGTTAATATTAATTCCAACATTTACTAGTGCGTTATTAAAATCAAAGGTTCTATTAGTTAACATTAGTTAAAGGGCTGTGAACTAACATGAACGCACAATGAACAGCTGTATTTGTATTAACTAACATTAACAAAGATTAATAAACACTGTAACTAATGCATTGCTCATTATTAGTTCATGTTAGTTAATGCATTTACTAATGTTAACTAATGAACCTTATTGTAAAGTGTTACCTATGATTTTACTCCAAATTCACCATGTTATTGACACAAAAATAGCAAATCCACGTTGTTTCTGTGAATTGCAGAGATCTTTTGCTTCTCTGTTCTGTAGCTTTCGGCAGTCTTGTCAAATCTAGCAACTAAGGGGTTAAGTGTCTCGCTCAAAGCTCAATTTTAGAAAGACAGGACAGTCAGGAATGCTTATAAATCCAGCTCTACCTGCGATCAGACCTGTGGTGTTTGTGCTTCCCATCGGCCTGTTGTTTCTCCAGACACTGATTATTTTTCAAAGGCGAGGCGAGGAGAGGCCTCCAGATCCTTTATAGAGGAATTCCTCTGTTCCGAGATATTTTCAGAAACCAGATGCTCTCTCTCTCTCTCTCCCTCCCCCGTGTGTGTTGTGCTGGTCAGTCTCCGTGTCTCGACTCGAGGGACACATATGAGCTGAAATGATGCCTTTATGAGCCAGGGTTTGCGCCCGGTGGATGTGGATTCACACCGCAGGCCTTTAAAACGGGCACGCTGTGGCAGGGACCCGGGCCAGACCGGCAGCTACAGAGACCAGCTTTACAAAGTCCCATCGGAACCTCGTGCCAAAACACAAAACGCCAAAGTTTTTAAAAGTATGTAACGGAATATTCTGGTAATTCCGAGTTCTTTCCCCCTGAACGAGTTTACTGTGGAATGTATTCAAATATTGAAAGTGTTTTATAATGTTTGCACAAGCAGAAATGCCCTGAATACTCAAACAGAAACTTTACGGCTCTGTTTTCAAGTGTTTGACTCTTGTATTTTTGTCTCTCTCTTTTTATTTTATTTTTTTATTTTGACATGCAAAACACATACCAGTTTTGATGCTTTAAAAAACACTAGGACTCCGTTTCCCAAAAGCATTGTAAGCCTAAGTACAGTAGGTCTTCGATCCATTACCACCAATAGTCTCTATGATCTATGTCTATGACTTTGCTCATGATGCTTTTGGGAAACGCAGCCCTGGTGTCTAAAGCAGTAAAACTGGAATGCTTTTTCCGTGTCAAAAAGAAATCAGGCGAGACAAAAATACAAGAGTGTTGTATTTTTAACAATATAGCACTGTGTTTTGACACTTTCATGCTGTTTATTAGTCACGGCCTACTGTATCGTGAATGAAACCGAAGGAAATGTTTCTCAAACGCACACGTATATTAGCAGAACACGCTCTCTGTAAACACGACACAATCTTTACAGGCGGCAGCTAGTGTCTATTCAGCGTCTTGTATTTGCTAATGAGCGTTTTTGTTTGCAAGTGGCCCTTCCTGCCTCGCGGGAATCTGCTGTGTGTGTGTGTGTGTGTGAAGGGGCAAGTTCATTCTCCTGTTTACGTTGGGCTGGCAGGGCGACAGCAGGGTATTCCCGTCCCCGGGGGTGTGTTACCTGACTCCACGATTGTGTCAATGAAGCGCCGCTACAGAAATACACCAGTGCATCGCTGGGCCAATCAGCTGCGCTCTTCTTTTTGGGTCTCGGCATGCCCTCAGTAAGAATACTGACCCTAGATCGGATTTCCAAACTGTGTGATGTGATTTGTTTGCATATGAACCGTTGAACAGACTTATTGTGAGAAGTTTTATTTGGATCATGACTCCATGTTTTCACTCTTTTTCGTCACTTAAGTTTCTGTTTCTCATTTGCACTGTTCTTTCGATACTATTGTCATAATAATAATGTATGAATAATAATAGTAATGCTAGTAAACAATGTATTAACATTAATTGTTAATAATAATACTTATAATAATAATAATATACTAATAATAATTATTATTATTAGTGGTAATAGCAATAATAATATAATATTTATTATATATTTATATATATTTATATTATAATATTATATAATATTATTATTGGTAATAGCAATAATAATAATAATAATAATAATAATTTAGTAGTAGTAATTAGTAATAATTAAAATATAACCGGTTATTGTTATTGCATCATTATATAGAAATATATTTCCCCATTTTTAAGGTTGTTTTAAAAGCCTTTAAAATCCCTTTTTAAACTTGTGTGTGTATATATATATATATATATATATATATATATATATAAAAGTTTAAGAACTTTTTAAGCTTATATATATATATATATATATATGTGTGTGTGTGTGTATATAGAAAATATTTCATTTGCTACTATTTATTTTTTGCTATTTTTTTTATTTTATTTGTCACTGTACATGAGAATCAAGAATCAACTTTGAATGCTTTTTCTGCAATTGCATATCGATTGATTAATAATAAATGAATTAATCATGATTAGTGATTGCAATTTTATTACACATTTTATTTTTCTGGACCTTATATTTGATTTTTAATATGTTTGAACCTTCACTTGTCCAACTCTCAGCAAGCAGACAAGAGTTAATGTTGAGCCCTGAACCCATTAAATTAGCTGTGAATAAAGATGTTCAAGTGGTAACCTTACAGTTAGTTGATTTATTAGTCTAAATCTGTCTTCGCTCGCATTCAAGAGCGGCTCCTATATATGCGTCCGTCTCTCAGGTGCTTCTGCGCGAGGGGTGAAAGACTGAAACTGGCGCCACCTTGTTTTTCCTGTCTCCTGTTGCACAAGATGGCATATTTCTGTCTTTACAACTTGGCCTGTAGATATTTCCGGCAGATACCTGTAAAAGAAACCCTTTCTGCTGTGGGTGGGGGGGGGACAGGCCTGTCTCCTGTCTTCTCTCTTTAAGACAGAAGCAATTCTCACTCTATTCTATGCCGATCTACTGCAATTCTGAATCTTAATCTTTATTTTGTTTCTTGAAAACATACGCAGGGCCAGCAGGACAAACATAATGATCCAGTGTCTATATCTCATTATTTTCACGAGCTTGTCTGCACTTTCCCGTGGCGATGAGTAAGACAAGAGTCAGGAAAGACTCCCTATTTAGGAAGCGAGTCGACGGTAACGCTGTAAATCAGAATGCTTCTGTGTCTGGGAATGTTCCCGAACGCGCTCATTACTATCAGGATCGACCACCGTTTCCCAGAACTCCAAGCGTTGTCTGGTGCGTTGGCCTCGTTGGGGTTTCTTGGTCTTGATGGTTTTTGTTCTGCTTATTAATAAGACATCAGCACCGGATGTACACCACAAGTCTGTTATGTGTTGGATATGTTATATATAAATATATATATACAGTATGCAAATATTTACGTATACGTGGATGGCAGGTCTGTGTCCTGCTTTTTCTCTTTATGAACAGAAGCAATTCATGCATTGCATTTCTGACTATTTTATGTCGATCCACGGCGATTTTAAATCTTATTCATTATTCTGTTGTTTATTATAAACACACGCAGGGCCAACAAGACAAACAAGTGATCTGAGCACATAATGATCCAGTGTCTATATCTCATTATTTTTACCAGCTATATGTTGCTGTTATAAATATATATGCAGTATATACATGCTGATATTCCTTAAATATATACATGCATGTGTGTGTGTGTATATATACAAAATAATTATACACATATAATGTAAACACAATTTATTTTCATTTGAAATCAGGCTGAATATTTTTCACATATTTCTTTCGTATTTACATTAAAACGTCACATTGAGTGACTTCTTTTGACTAGAGCACGACCGATAAAGGATTTTGAAGGCCGATACCGATACAAATATTTTTGGGTTTTAAAGTCCGATATTCCGATATATCGGCCGATATTTATTTATTTATTTATTTATTATTAAATATTGTTGGATTTCACACACGTGTAAAAGAAAAGCTAACTTTTCTACACAAGATACGTTTGATACTTTTTCTCTATGTCTAAATGTTCACTCCTCACAAGTCTAACTTACATTTTACAATGCAGGGACTGTAACTAGAGATATGCTAGTTATAAATACAGTAATAATTACTTTATTTAGGCAGAAAAAGTTAATTGTGGTTTCCAAGCTCATTAATGTTAACGTTAGCGGTCTTCCACTGATGATAGCGGCATTAGCTTGCTTTGTGGTTAGCTAGTCTATGATGAGCCATAATTTAGCAATAGATAACATCATACTACAAATTGTAAAACATACATTTTCAATATAACAGGCCAAGGAGAGATGATTGAAGCGTGTTTCGTCCATTTTTATTTTCTTTTTTAAATATTCATTTATTGCCATTATAATTGCCGATACCGATATTACAGAAAATGCCTAATATCGACCGATAATATCGATAAATAAATATCGATTTTGATAAAAGCTTTTTTTTTTTGTCTGCCGAGTAATATGCATTGATGATCCATTCACAATGAGAGCCAACATGCACAAAATAGTCATGAAAATTATAGGGAGGAGAGAATATGAGCCTATACAGAGCAGGCAGTTATGAAACAGGCTATGAAAATTAAATCAGACTCTCAACATCTCCTCTTTCCTGAATATGAAACCCCGCCATCAGGAGGAAGACTCTGTGTACCCAAATGCAAAACTAATCACTTAAAATTATCATTTGTGCCAGTCTCTATCTAGTTGCTGAACGATGTGACATAAAACTGTGTGCAATAAAATGTCGGCACTTCCGCACTTTACTTGTGATCTCGGTGCAATATAAATACTAGCACCTTAGCATATGCACTTTACATAAACTTCAATACAATGGAGTAATGTGCAACAACCACACTAGCACTTTAATCCATGGAAGTGTGCAGTCAATAATGTCTTTTTTTCTTCTGTGTCTATATTTGCTTGTTTTGTGATTTTATGATGTTTATTTAATGAAACATTTATGTTACTTCTTCCTACTGCTTTTTGCACATGTAAATAGAAGGTTGTTTTTGTTTTTCTTGAAGTACTGGAAAGTATGGATTTTTACTTTGTTGTTCATTTTTGTTTTTTTTTATCAATATTCCTTGTTTCATTGATTAATATTTGTATTTTTTATTTAAAGATCTCAAATCAAACAACTCTGCACGGTGCCAAAGCAAAATTTCCCCTCGGGGACAATAAAGTTAACCTAAACCTACCCTAGAGCAGGAGAGTGATTTGGGGTTAAAGGCTTGATGTGCCTCTTCTTCTCAGGTGCTGGGCCGCTGCTTCCTGACGGTCATGCAGGTGCATTTTCAGTTCCTGTCGCAGGCGTTGCAGAAAGTCCAGCCGGTGGCACAGTCCTGCCTGGCGGAGGCGCTGGCACAGGTTCAGGAGAGACGTGGGAATGCCCACACGCAGAACACAAACCCCGGGCCCCTGACGGAGCTGGAGGAAGCCATCCGCTCATGGAGAGGAGCGTCAGAGGTGAACAACACCACCGATCAATGCACACACAACCAGAGTGAAAATGATTACAATATAATCATTACATTTTAGATTTCAAAATATTTTTTTTGTGACATCTACCCATTTTATTGTCCAAATATTGTTTTATAATGTCCAGTTTGTTATGCTATTTAGTTCAAATCTGCATGATACCTCAAATACTTGCCCAAAAATAAACACACACTGATATATTTTAGTCGGTAAGCCCTTACAAAATTATTTTAAAATATTTAGGGCTGTCAAATGATTAATCGCGATTAATTGCATCCAAAATAAAAGTTTGTGTTTACATAATATATGTGGATGCACTGTGTATAATTATTTTGTATATATATATATATACAGTAAATACACACATGCATGTATATTTAAGAAAAAAAAAAGTTTTTATATAAAATATTTGTATTTATATATAATATAAATTATAGTGTATACATGAACATATTTCTTAAATATATACAAGCGTGTCTGTATTTATATATAAAATAATTATACACAGTGCACCCACATATATTATGTAAACACAAACTTTTACTTTGGATGTGATTAATCATTTGACAGTTATATAATTTTGAATATATTATTTATTTAATTATATATTTTCACATTATATTTTATATATAAGAACATTTTGAGATTTACTCATATGTTGTCTTAATATTTTGCCACGCCCAGCCTAAATACCTATGAAAACTACTTGAAAATAAAAATAAATAAACACTGATGCAGTCAACAAGCTCTGGCAAAATAAATGTTTTAATGTATGTTTCATTATAAAATTCACATAGGATATATATTAGATATATTTTATAATACATTTAGGAATATTTCATTTTAATTTATATTCCATTTATATAACATTTATGTTTTTTTTTATTTAAAAAAAAATATATATACACACACACACGTTTTGATATATATATATATATAAATGCGGTGTTTAGTCTCTGTCATCCTATTTAGTTCAGACTGCATACTACCTTCCTAAACTACTTGAATGAATAAATGTGTGCAGCAGCAGTGTAGCAGGAAGTTTTGTTTGTTAAATAGGTGTGTGTGTGTGTGTTTCAGGTGACGGCGTGTCTCAGGGAGAGAGGGAGAGACGGCTGTCTGTCTGGCATTCAGGTACAGCAGCTCTTCTGCTCTCAGAACACCTCCATACCTGAACACCAGCTCAAAGAGCTCAACGCCAAGATCGACAACGCTCTACAGGTGAGCACACACCTTCACAACAGTTTACTGCTAGTGCTGTGAAATCAGAATAAATGAACGTCAATCTGTTTGTCATTGTAAGTTGTCTTTTTGTGATGACTGGGTGTTGATGTGAAAAAGCATAAATGTACATGCTAGATAGTAGCATTTATCAAATAATTATCACAATTAAAAAAATGTTGAATTGTGATAAAGCGACATCTTATTTAAGTTATACTGTATACTTTTTATCAGTTCATTCATTCCCAGGGAATCAAACCCATGACCTCAGCAATACTAGTGCATTGCTTTAAGTTTAATCTACTTAATGCCATAATTACTTTACTAGTTATATCACAGCTAGGGTTGCAACGGTATGAGATTTTCACGGTATGATAATCGTCTCAGAAAATATCACGGTTTCACGGTATACGATATTAAACCTATCATTATTATAATCAGCATCAGCTACAATGGCCCTTAAATGAATAAAAACAGATATTGTTTTTGGTTGAACATGGTTTATTGTAACAAAGGTTTTTTCAATAGAGTCTTTATGAAATGTATATTTATTTCCTCAGAAATTCTGGGTTGTCTGAAATAACTGATCTGGATTCTGTGATTGAATACAAAATGTATTTTTGAGAATGCAATCAGATAAAATGTAACAACTTTAGTTTGTCTACACAAGAGAAGTTTAATAAATTAAAACATGGACAAAAAAACTATACACAATAGTAATATATTTTAATCATAGGCTAAACCAAACTTTTTTTTTCCAGGTTGTAGGGGAGAGCGGGGCACAACCTAACGCTTTTTGCTTTTGGCTCAATTAATTAAAAAATAATTAGGTTAGATTAATACTTTTTTTTACACAAGCAACATGCACATCTCTGCTACAAATGAACACTTAAAGTTTTTTTCTAGGACCTACCATTTTCGTACAGTTGGACTGAAAGTGACAGAAGTGCAAATGTTACAACTTACCCCATATGCGGGGTTAATTGTAACAGAGAGAGGGGTTAGTTGTAACACTTGTGTGTAACACACATAATTCAGTACTATTTTATTTGTATAGTTTGATATTGTTTGTGCATCTGTATAGACAGATATCCATACATATCCCTCATCCAATCATCCTTCTATTATGGATCAATATCATGGATAGAGACATAGAAAAGGGCTGCATAGTTTTGCAATAAATAATAATAAATAAAATTATAAATATTGTAATTGCAATTAAATTAGATTTGTGTGTGGCAGCTGCATGATGTACAATTATTATTATTAATAATAATAACAGTAATGATAATACAAATTAGCTTAAAATAAAAATGTAAAGGGTTTATTGCATTAATAACAGGCCATATTTTTAATAAATAAACAAGTTATCATTCATAGAACACTAAATTTTAAACATTTTAAATCTCAACATTGTTTGTGAACGTCTAACAAAGTTAAATGTATACTCAAACCTGAAAAGTTGTGTGGCTCCGTTTTCATTTGATTATCATTGTACACTTGGAGGCTTAGTTGTACCACTCTGTTAGAATTAACCCCGCTGTGTATTACATATTTTAAACCTAGCTAACAGTCGCTAGGAATTGCTGACATGTTTCAAAACGGTGCTATGTTTGAGCCAACAAGACGGTGATTAAGGCAATATAAAGTTAGATTTGGAAACGTATACACCCAACTCAGAAACCGAAAAAAACCTATGATGAAAAAAATTACTTTCATGGTGTCAAAACACTCTTTGTCCAGTATCTTCACGAAATATAATCAAAACTTTCCGCAAATTCGCGGGAGACCGTCTTCTGGCAGCAAGAGAAAAATAGCGGAAAGACAACCTGCTTGATCCTGACGAACTGTGTAAACGGTCCGTGTTACATTTAACCCCGCGTTAACACCTACTGAACACCTATGAGTTTCAGTCAGTGTATTTGATGATTATTCTTTAAAAAAATAATTATAAAGTGCACATTAAGTGTTCTCTGTCTAGATATGTTCATGTGTTCACGTCTTCGTAGTGGCTGAGACAGCTTTAAAAACCATGAGCGTCATGCGTACTTGAGTGTGTAGATCTACTAGACGAAACGGCGCTGCTCATTCAGAGACACGTTCTCATTCTTGCACACCAGTCTTTTTGCGTTGTATATTCACAGACACGCACATCGCGATTTGATTTAGGCTACTGCATAGCTATATTTTGCTTTATTTATCCATCTATCTTTTTAAATCGCACATTTTACGTGGCATCTGTTTTGTAACGCAAAAAGACGCATGTGTGCGTCTTTTTGACAGACCGGGATTCCCTCAGCATGACAGAAATAATATGGCCTTAAGTTATAAAAGTTATGAATAACCTTTATCTTCACGGAGGGATGGTGTTCCTAAATATGGGAGAACATGTTCGACGTGTTTACTCCTTTTGCAGCCACTCTTCGTCCACATATCTTGCAAACTGGATATCCATCTTCAAGGACAACATCACGATCGTTTTTCGGATATAAGTTACAAAATATTCCCATACTGCAGATTTTATTTTATTTTTTTGGCGGTAGATAGAGATTCGCAGCCTCTGTCTCGGACATTTTCAGTGCTGTACGGATATGGAGTAAGCAGTCAAGCTGAAAGAAGTTGCATGCGCAGGGTTCCCGCGGGTCCTTAAAAAGTCTTAAAATGTCTTAAATTAGATATTTAAAATTTAAGGCCATTAAAAGTCTTATAAAGTCTTATTTTTAGGTATGAAAGGTCTTAAATTTTAGATGACACTTCGACTCAGTCATATCTTAATGTTTTCCAAATTAAAACCATCTAATTTGCGTACGTATTAATTTTTATCTTTGTGGATTTGCTTGTTCACGTGACAATTCGCGTCACATTCGCGGCAGAATAACGTCCGTCTCCTGCACGCGAGACAGGAGAGGAGGAGAGAAGAAAGTTGGCAAATGTCAGTTAAGTCGTAAGTTAATTCTTTATGTGCGTAGAGGTGTGTGATGTGTATTGTCTATTATGATACTCTATTCTCTTAACGATGGACGAGGCACTGTGAGTGTGAGCTGACATCGCATTTGTCTCTCGTGTTTTCACGGCGTGATGTGTGCAGTTATAGGCATGTATTTATTATGGTTATAGGTATGTCCCCAAATTAGTTTTTGCCTTATATTTATATCATGTTGTTATATTAGAATATCACATCAGTAAGAGTGCCGTTTTCCCGTGCACAAGTGTGATATTTATGTTATACAATAGTTAAATTAAAAATAAAGTGACATTGTGAGTTAGTTTTTAGCCATAACATTATCGATATTGTTTGTTTTCCCGTTATTTCGCCGACTAGAATTTCAAAATGAAACCATAGCAGAGTCTCAATGCAACAGACAGCGATGATTTCTTGAAGGAAATCCGCGTCTTGAACGAGTCATTTTAACGATTCAATCACTTGCTTCTTTCCCGTTTGAACAAATCGGTTGAATGAATGACTCCCTCAACTCGCTTATTAAGACAGCGATTTGCTGCCGCCTACTGGCGGTTTTAGTTTCATATTAAAAGTAAAAAATTAGAAATCATTTCACATTTAAATATTGAATATTGATTTTTTTTAAAAACCTTATAGCTTGATTTATGCAATTGTAATTGGAGTGTATATATTAATGCCACTTCTAAGGCTGCTTCTGCGTCTACTCTGCACTGCAAAGATGGATTTTTGATTGAATGATTTAATTAGACTGCTAACAGTGGTACTGTATAATTATTGTGTAATGAAATATTATTGTATAAATAAGTATAATTACTGTATATATGTGATGCACGTGATGCATAACTCTAAATAAGTTTAGAAAAAAAAATCTCCATAAATAGGTGAAAATGCCCTGGAAATCAATTTAAGGTGGCAAATATTGCACATTAATTAATAATTTCTGTCACTGCTGTGAACTGACCACTGCATAGAATATGAAAAATGTAAATATCTCCGCGAGTCTGCTGTCAACAACAGGCCTAAACCAGCCATGGCACCAGCACAAAAACACAATTAGTAAAATATCAACTAATTATTGTTGATAAAAATTAGTTGATATTTTACTGATTTTGTTTTTGTTTTGTGTTTATCAACAAAACGTGAAAATATCGAGATATATTTTTGTCAATATCGCACACCCCTAATGTATGGTATTAATTTTGATTTCTTCAGGTCTTAAAAAGGTCTTAAAAAGCCTTAAATTTTACTTTAAAAAGTGTGCAGGAACCCTGATGCGGCAGTGCAGGTGAATTCTTTTGTTTTTTTTTGTTTTTTTACCGCGGATAAGCAAATGTGCACGATATGATAATCGTACATGTCAATATCGCGATAAACCGTCATACCGGTATACCGTTACAACCCTAATCACAGCTCGTATTAATTGAGCAAATTAAATATTTTTACTTTAAGAATGTAATGAGCAAAAAATCATGATGGTGCAAAACTTAAAATAAAAAGTAACCTGTAACATGGTTGAATGTAGAAACAGATGTTTAGTATTATAGATCTAGCAGTTTATAGTGCTATTAAAATGTAAAGGTAATCATTTTGTGTTCTGTTAATAATGAGGGTTTTTGAGAGGCACAGACTGACCCACTGGCGTTGTGTTCATGTGTGTTGCAGGCGTATAAAGTGGCGTTAGACTCTCTGGGTCACAGTGAATACGCGCTGAAGGCCGGATTTCACCTCAATCCCAAATCAGTGGAAGCAGCTTTGCAGGTATGTTTGCCGTGTGTGGAATTACAGCTTAGTGCTGATTAGAGCGTCTCTCAGGATGTGCATGTGTTCAGCAGAGAGACACGTGTATGTCCACATATTTAAATATGCTCCACATATTCAACGTCTGTTCACTCGCCGGCCATATTTGCAGCTATTTCGGACATCAATGACAAATCTGACAAAAAACTGCTTGCCGAACTCACAAATAGATAACATTTCACTTCCTCATCTTCCTCAGGAGCTCTCAAGCTGTTACTTGTAAACATGACTTTGTTGCGTCTTCACAGGTTTTGTCATTTACTTGGTTTAATTGAGTGTGTGCATATGAACAGTGTTTGATTATGAACAGGGCTGTTGCAGTGACGCTGAAGCCCAGCAGGCCGGACGGTTTCACACCACGTCTCAGCCAATCCAGTGTGAATTACCCACAATTCCTGTCCAGATCGGCTCGCATCTCCTCCGAGGAGTTTCCTTCAACGAAAGTGCATCAGATAACCTCAAGCTTAAAACGGTATTCTGTTCTCTCTCTGAACACAATATTATGAATTATGACTAGAGATGAGATCTAGGTGCAAATGTAATCTATGATAGCAAGTACACAAATAAGAAATCAGATGGTTTTAACACTGATACGTAAATCTCACAAAACCTGATATTTCACATCCAAAACAAAAATAATTATATTTTTCATTAAGAAAATGTGGCTTTTTAAAGACTGTTTAAGGTTTTTATTTTTTTAATAATTATTTCCGTGACAATTTTTGCTCTTAATGTTATGCTCACACTACTATTCAAAAAAGTTTGGGGTTGGTAAGGTTTTTTTTTATTTTTTATTTTTTTTTAAGAAATGAATACTATTAAGCAAGCATGCCTTAAATTGATCAAAAGTGGCCGATATCTTTAACGAGATTTCTAATGCTGTCCTTTTCAACTTTCTATCAATCTTGAAAAGTAAAATTCATCAGTTTCCACAAAATATTAATATGAAGCAGCTCAAATGTTTTCAACATTAATAATTATCAGAAATGTTTCGTCATCATATTATAATGATTTCTGAAGGATCATGTGACACTGAAGACTGGAGTAATGATGCTGAGTATTCAGTGTAAAGTATTACACTTGTATAGACCATTTTGCTAGATGTAAACAACACTGGTCCAGAAACACTTCCTGTTTCAGTTTGAAACTGTTTTCTTTTATTAATTTATTTTTATTTGATTCAGTTTTATATGTTCTGCTGGTTGTATTTTATGTAGTGTTAAAAAACTGAAACAGGAAGTGCTTCTGGACCAGTGATGTTTACATCTTGCAAAATGGTCTATATAAAACCGTTGTATTAAATTACAATAATATTTTCTTAGTTTTTACTGTATTTTTGATCAAATACATGCAGCCTTGGTGAGCATAACAGACCCCAAACCTTCAAACAGTAGTGTCTATTTAAATTGTATAGTAATTTTACAATTCATCAAATGTAATCTCTTCCCAGCATGCCGTGCTGCAGCTGATCAAAGATGCGCTGGACCAGAACGGCGTGGCGGTGCGGGACGACTCCCCCGTCACTGAGGTCCTGAACCAGGTGTGTCCCTCCAGCTGGAGAGGAGCCTGTAAGACCGCGGTACAGCTGCTGTTCGGACAGGCGGGACTGGTGAGTTAACGCCAGAATGTCTTTATATAGTTGCTAGAACTAGTTCACGGATGTTGGCGTGTTCGCACCGCAGGAATTAGCAACTATTTTAGTTCTAGAAGTCCTTTTGGAGGAACTAATTGAGCTCCTACTTCAGAGTCGGTCTAAACCAGCGCTATAGGAACTATACGTGACGTTAGTGTACGCTGATTGGCCGAAAGCACGAGAAACACCTGACATTTTTAAACACACAGATTAACCTATATGTTTACACCACAAAGTAACTCTACGAACATAGAAAACAGTGATAGATGAGCCTCTTAACCTTTTAGCTGAGGAGAAAACGTGATTAAGGAGCCAAAGTGAGGGGCGGAGCTTAGGTTCGAAACCTAATAACGCCACCTAACGTAATTTGGAGGGTATTTTACACATGAAACAGCTTTTATTGAACATGAAACGTCCTACTCGTTATGATGCTACATTAGCCTACAGTACAATAAGCATGTATATAGTTTCAGTTATCCGTTTCATTGGATTATGAGTTACTTCCTGATCATGATGGTGAAAAAATAATACTTGAAACTTATGGGCATTTTAATGTATAACGGTTTCATAATTTTAGCTAAGCAGTTTATGCATACGTGTAGATTAATGAAGGTAAGATCTTTTGTTTTTTGTTTTTTTATGAATGAGTTAACTTTGTATAATAAAGCTTTGAAAGATATAAAACAAGACAAGCATTGGAGGTTTTCAAAATTATACACAATTCGATAACTGATTAGATCTATGTGATATTTTATGTTCTATTTATTTATTTGTGTTTACAAAAATCTTAAATTGTTTTGATATTGAAGATTATTGAAGGTTTTTTTTTATAAAATGTACTTTATTTCACAAGAACGTGCAGCATGAATTTTTTTGTGTAAAATAATAATGTCAAAATCTAAAAAAGAGAGAGAAAATTCGGCATTGTTTTAAACGAAACAATAAAAATGTATAAAATGACCAATTCAACCCTAGCTAGGCCTGTTTTATCACAACAATCTTGTATAAATTTAACTGCGTATCTTAACTGTATCAAATGAGGAACTCTCAGGCCTTTTTTGTCCTTACATTCTTGCTAAAATAACTATAATGCAATAATAATAATTCCGCCCCTCTCTCACTTCCGGTTCTGGCGCTGGGGTTATGAAACTGGTGGTGCTGTGGGTCTGGATATATCTGGGACTGTTAGACAAATTTTAAACGAATGAACACGCAGAAAGCGAGCATTGTGTGTTCAGGCTCTGGCGTTCTCAGTGTCATGAAAATAAAGTCAAAATGAAAGTCACAACAACAAAGTCTTACATCACTTCAGAGTTCCTAGGGGAACCATTATTTCTCGGGGAACCACCCTGATGGCTCCATCCTAGGACTCAGTTCCTCGAACTACTCGGTCATTGTCGGCAACGTTCACACGGAAGACAGAATAAAAGTCTGAACTCAAGGCCTCCGGCTAGAGGAAAATGATTTCTGAAAAATCATAAAGCCGTTTCTATGACGCCGTTTCTTTCCTTGGTGTGTGTGTGTGTGGTCAGTGACCGTGACCTTTGGGCGTGTGTGTGTTTTCTGTGTAGAGTCCCCATCATTTGAGTCACATTGAGGATACACCTGCGCTATTAATAACAATAGCCCACTTCCTGTTTGATAGGAAACAGCCTCCCTGTTTCAAACTTCACGGCCTCTTTTCAAGAACTGTGGGAAATGTTTCATTTGTGTTTTCTGGTGGAAACGGTGATAAAGTCGGCTCTCGAGTGTCCAAGTGTTGATTTATGATCACAGGACGAGTAACATGAATGGTTTATTCTCTGGCAGAGCTTCATTGGAGTGTGTGCAGTTATTAAATCTGATGATGATGTGTTTGTGCAGGTTGTGGTTGACACGGCTCAGATTGAGAATAAGGAAGCTTACGCCCCTCAGATCTGTCTTGAAGGATCTAAAGTTGTGATCCAGGTTCCTTCCACATGGTGAGTAACTGTCTAGGGTAAGGTTTGTGGGAATTATAGCAATAGTTTATTAAATCTCAGTATCACTGAACGTAATTGGAAGATGGACATCCTCTTTAGTTTGGTAGAGTTTGAGCTGCTTTACTGCATTTAAATAAAGTTGAGATGGTTTATGTTGTTGAATGAATATTTATGAATAAAATTAAACATTATGCTCTTAAATCTTTCACCGCCATTGACTGAATTTATCTGTTTTCACTGTTATACGGTAGGGGGCGCTATTACAAATCTTTTGATAGAGAACTGAATCTCTGGATCAAAACAAACGAGAAAAGCATTGCTTATGCACTCATGTTGTAATCTTTGAAAATAACTATATTTTTCTCAGCTTTTTGTTCTGAATGTTGCTTTTATTCTAAAAGTCTAACCCACATTCAAGGGTTGATTAAAAAGGAATGCATGAAGCTATAATAAAAACTTTTTTTTTGTTTATAAGCAGATGATCTGTTCTTTCTTCTGATATATTGCATGTTTAGATATTTATACTACAACATGTGTTCTGGGGCCGGTGAAAATTTTGTGAAAGTAATAATTAAAATGCTGGTAAAGGCTGGTAACTTTAAAAAATAAAGAAAAGCTGGTCAAGACATTTAACCCCTGTTAAATTGGGTTAATTTAGCTAAAATCAACTTTTCTATCAAATATAAAACTTAAAGGGATTATATAATTGCTATATTTGATTAATTTTGCTTGAGAAATATTGCGTTTTTGGTATATAATTGTCTGTTTTAATTTAATTTCTCCAAGTTTAAGCTTCTTCTCAAAGCTTAGCCTTTGCTGATAACCTAAATGATAAAGACTTGTAAATGTAATCTGACTGTGCTGTTTTGTCTTGCAGGTGTCTGAAGGAGGATCCAGCCACGATGTCTCTGCTGCAGCGCAGTCTGGATCCAGAGAAGACCCTCGGCCTGGTGGACGTGCTTTACACGGCTGTGTTCGACCTCCACCGCTGGAAGGAGCGCAAGTCAGTGGCAAACGCATCACACACTCACCGCACTTCACTCAGGGATGATTGAAAATAAATATTTTTTTAAGCATTTCTTATTTTCATTTAGTTTAAATGGTTAGTTTACCTCAAAATAAAAATTCGGTCAGTAATTACTCACCCTCATGTTGCTCACCCTTTCTTTTATTTTCGGGACACAAATGAAGATATTTTTGATTAAATATTTTTGATTAAAACTCATTTGGACATTAAACCGTTTGGTTCCCATTGAAGTCCATTATATGGATAAAATCCTGGAATGTTTTCATCAAAAACCTTAATTTCTTTTCGACTGAAGAATGAAAGACATGGACATCTTGGATGACATGGGGGCGAGTAAATTATCAGCAAAAATTTTTTTAAAAGTGAACTACTCCTTTAAGTGATCGAAACTGGCCAGCCCAGAAAAGTTATTAAAGACATCATTAAAATAGTCCAAGTGACAGTGGCTCAATCTTTATCTTTTCTTCAATCTTTTGGCTCAGTCTTTATCAAGTTGTTAATCAAGCGATGAGATTACTTTTTGTGCACAAAAATAACAACTTTAATGAACTATTCATAATAATAAGAGTTATATAAAAATTATATAAGAATATATATAATAAACAAGAATTTTTATTTTGGGGAGAATTTTTAAGAATTTTTAATTTTATTTTTAATTTATTTAAAAACTCAACTAATCACATGTAAATGTAAAAATTTTACATTTTCTTTTTGTGTGTGCAAAATATTCTACTAAAATGTAGAAAATTATATATACGTATTTATAATATATACAATTTTCTACTAAAGGTGTGCATGTATATATATTTTAGTAAAATATTTTACATGTAAACTCTCTCACACATGTACTAAAATAACAGAAATAAAACTCTATAGACAATATGGAAAACTTAGAAAATGGAAAATATTACAATCATAATATTGGTCTGATTAGAGAGAGGTTGTAATTCTCTGCTGCTGATGTGTGTGTGTGTGTGTGCAGGGAACAGACTTTGCCCACCATTCAGATCCAGCTTCAACGGGACACGACTGATTACGGCGGCCCCGTGGATCTCCCTCCCGGGAACAGCACCAAATCCTCCAGCGGCCTCCCCAAAACCATCTCCAAACTCACCTCACGCTTCACCAAGAAAACCTCGTCCAACTCCAGCGCGGGCGGCAGTTACTCCATCCCAAACACCCCGTCTCGCAGCAGCGCCAACTCCGACGACAAAACCGCACGCCTGCACAGCATCCTTCAGATGAGCAGCATGCCCTGCACCCCCGACCCGAGCCACACGCACCTCGCCAACGGCGCCGACGAGCAGGGCATGAACCTTCCCACCGACCAGGAGATGCAAGACGTCATCGACTTCCTATCAGGGTTCAACATGGGAAAATCCCAGCAGGCGTCTCCGTTAGTGAAGAGAAGGAACTCGGTTGCGTCGACAAATGCGTCCGACTTGAAACCGCCGACCTCGCAAGTGTCCCACAACGCCGTGCAGACGTTAGCGCAAACCTTACAGCAGCAGACGCAACAGCAGCAGCAACTTCCTTCAACACCAAAACAACAGCAAACACAAACACAGTCGCAACCGCAACCGACCCTGCCGTTCTACCAGCATCTCTTGCAGCCGATTGGTCAGCCTCAGCAACAGCAAGCCCCGGTTTCTCCACAGATCTCTTCCCAGCAGCCCCCGCAGCCGAGAGCTCCCAGTAAGTGGCCCCAGGGTCCGCTGGGCGGCCTGTCACCGATCGGGCCCTTGACGCAGTGGCCCGCTCCGGGTCTGCCCGACCTCAGCTCTGACCTCTACAGTCTCGGGCTGGTCAGCACATACATGGACAGCGTCATGTCGGAGATGCTCGGACACAAGCCCCCGCAGGGACCGCGGAACAACACCTGGCCCAACCGAGACCAGAGCGAGCAGAGTCTGTTCGGGGTGCTGGGAGACTCCATGCCCTTTGACCCTGCAGGTGAGCAGACGTGTTTGACTATCATTGGTTGAGCAAAACTCAGCTGCATGGTAGAGTGGCTGTTCTGATCAAGTGATTTATATATACTTTTAATTTACTTTGACGCGATTAAAGCTGTGCTGACAAACATTGCTATATGACTTTTTGAAAAAAATAACAACAAATCTGAATTTTTCTAATTACTAGTTTTTACATATTTAGTTAGTTATTATGCATGTATTTGTATAAATATAGTTAGTTTAATGTTACATTTTATTATTAATTTTTATTTTATATTTTTTTATATTTAATACATTTTATATTTTTATATTTTATTTATTATTATATTTTATTATATATATATATATATATATATATATTATATGCACATTCATTCAGTCACATTTCCATTATGTGCATATTTTTATAGTATTATTATTGCATTTTTTTGTATTATTATTATTATTATTATTATATTTTTTAGTTTATAATTATTTAATTGCTCTTAAACAATGCATCAAATTGACATTGCAATTGTAATGTAATGAATTTAAAATTTAATTGAATGCAAATAGCATGTGGTAATTTAATAGTTTTCTCGTTGTGAGTGGAGTAGAGTGTGTGCGTGTGTGTGTGTTGGTCTCCATTATGTGTTTCTGCTGTGCTGGTCAGTTTAAACAAAGAGCAGGACTAACCCCACTCATCTCTGTGTCTCGGTCTCGGTCAGTGGGCTCGGATCCAGAGTTTGCTCGTTATGTTGCCGGGGTCAATCAGGCCATGCAGCAGAAACGCCAGGCTCAACATGTCCGCCGTCCCAGCAACCCCCGCAGCAACTGGCCCCACCCTGAGGAGCAGCACAGGGGCTGGGCACACCCCGAATACTACAGCGAAGGGTGAGTGACACATGACCAGTCACATGGTGCTCAACCACCCTATAGTGATATAATCCACTCACTCTTTTTTTTTAATCCCCATAAACCATAACCAGTGTCTTCCAACGACCTGTTTTCAGCCATGGGGCTGGTGTGACGTCACAACAGCCACAGGCCCCGCCCACTAATGTTGACGTTTAACATAGAACCGGCTTGATCGAGTTCACAGCGAGTTGTACACATCCGCCATCGCTGCACTGACGAGCATGTCTCTCAAGCGCTGTAGGTGTTGTGTGGCTGGATGTATTAATCCACATTTACTCCCGAAACCTGAGCCAGCCACTGAAGACGAGTGTGAGCCTGTGAGGCTCCGCCCCCTGTGCCGGCAGCAGCAGCTCATTTGCATTTAAAGGGCACACACTAAAACAGCGTGTAGTTCTGAGCCCCAAAAAGAGACAATTAAACATGCTATACAAATGATCTGTTGGATATTTTGAGCTGAAACGTCACACTCACACACGTCAGAGACTTTTATATTGTTAACAGGGGCATAATAGGTCCCCTTTAATAGTTTTAGATGTTGATATAGATGTTTGTATTTGAGCAGGGAGGCGGTCAACAGCGGCTGGTCAGCCAATCAGGGCGATTCAGCCAGTTCGAGTGACGAGACCTCCTCAGCCAATGGGGACAGTCTGTTCTCCATGTTCTCTGGGCCGGACCTGGTGGCGGCTGTCAAACAAAGACGGTAACCAACATTTGATTTGTTGCTTTGTCTCGCTTCATGTGAGATGATGTTGCTCATGTTGAGTGTGTTTTTTAGGAAACACAGCTGTGGTGAACAGGAAGTGTGTACTCTGCCCTCTCCTCCACTGCACCACACCAGTGACGACAGTAACCAGGTAGGAATCAAACACACACACACGTTTATTTCATAATAATATGAGATGGAATTTCACAGTAGGTGTTTACACACATTCAGTCGCTGCTGTTAATCGCTTCTGTCATAGAATGTTTAAATAATTAACGTTTGGATTATAGTGGAGTTTTTAGCCAAATAAACATAATTTCTGACATATGATGTCATGTCAAATTCAGTGTGGTGTTACATGCAGGATCCCAGGAAGTGACATCACACAGAGGACTCTTAAAATATCATATTTGATTCTGATCGCTTATGATTGTTACTTCAGATGTTGTTGTCAAATGATTTAAAAAGTAATATTTGTAAATTGACGTAGAAAAGTTTAGCAATCAAGTACTGTAATAAAGAAACTAAACAAATTTTTGTTTTTTAAAAGTTGAATTTAAAATTTATTTATATTACATCAGACTAACATGAATTTAACAATTACATTATGAGAAACTTTGAAACTATAAACTTTAAAATGCAAGTGCTGGGCAATGATTAATCACGATTAATCGCATACAAAATAAAGGTTTGTGTTTACATAAAGGCTTGGGAGGGTTACTTTAAAAATGTACTCCATTACAGATACAAAATTACTTTTTAAACAAAAGTATTCAGCAATGTAATCCAAGCACCACAATATGAAAGTAATGTAACTGATTACTTCAAGGACAGATTTTATTTTAAAAAATAACTTTTATGTATTAAATTGTACAGCTCTGAATATATATTTATGTAAAGGACTATACAGACATCTAGTGGCTACAGTACGCTATTACAGATTATTATATTTTATTTTCAACTTGAGATGTACAAGGAAAAAATAAAATGGAAATGTTTCTTCAATAGGAAAATAGAGAATACAAAATTATTTTTTTTTTCAAGCAAATATAATAAAGATAGAGAATGCAAAAGCTGCTTTAGTTTGGATGTGGAGTCCTTCCATAAAGAAAGTGTTTCCGTTGCTGGAAGGCTCAGTTTGCACTATACAACCATGTTGTTGTCATTTTTTGACAACTGTAATGAATTGTATATATATATATATATATATATATATATAAGGGCTGTCAAATTCAAAATAAAAGTATGTGTTTACATGATATGTGGGTGCACTGTGTATAATCATTTTATAAATACACACACATGCTTGAATATTTCAGAAATATGTCCATGTATATACTGTATATAGATTTATATATACTTTATATTATATATAAATATAAATATTTTATATAGAAATAATATACAAGCATGTGTGTGTGTGTGTGTGTGTGTATATATATATATATATATATACACACAAAATAATTATACACAGTGCACCCACATATATTATGTACACACAAACTTTTATTTTGGATGTGATTAATTGTTTGACAGCCCTAATATATATATATATATATATATATAAATATATATACACCCACACACACACACACACACAGTATATACATGTAAATATTTATTAAATATATACATGCATATGTGTATAATTATACACATTACACACACATATATTATGTAAACGCACACTTTTGGATGCGATTTAATCGTTCACCTTCTTGAACATGAATATTTGTCATTAGCCCTTCGGCACACTTTCATAGTTTCCCTCCATATGTGTTTTGTGCTGTTTGTGTTACAGGACAGCAAAACTAAAACATGGCCTCCTAAAGCCCCGTGGCAGCACTCCTCACACACCAACACCATGCCCAATCCCAGCTCTTCCCTCTACCAGATGACCATCCCCTCCAGCCAATGGGGCGACTCCATGCAAATGCTGCAGTCTCCGGTGTGGTCGACAGCCAATGACTGCCCTCCATCCTCCGGGATCTCCTCCGGCTTCCCGTTCACACCACAACAACAACAGCAGCAGCAACAGCAGCAGCAGCAACAGGTTTCCCAGCACAAGATCCTGAGCAAAGGCTTCAAAACCTTCCCGCTCAAACCCGAGCATCGACCCTCATACCTACACCAGTACTGAGCTGGACCCGTGCTGGGAGAGGTTGAACACAGGGTCGAACCGATGACGTTTTATAATCCCAGCTGGGATTGTTCATCTTGTGGTGAAGTGTGCCGTAAACCTGGTCTAGACTCCAACCTTGTGAACTAGAAGTGTTTTTATAGGGAAATTTGCATTTAACATAGTGGTTAATAACATTTTTGTACACAGATGCGTGTCCCCAAACAGAAACGTAACTGCCTTCCACGCTGTCTGAGCGATGCATGACTCGCGTTAACAAACAGCAGCAAGTCGGACCATTTCACTGGCAGCCGCTTCGAGCTCGATTCGTTCGGCTTCGAGTTTACACGCGACTTTTCCGATATGCATGGCCACGTGCTCACTCACTGCAGCCGCATTACGAAGACCCTGGGTCCCGGTTCGCCCCATATAACGATACTGTGTTAAAATAGCTGTAACTGCCAAATGTCACGTGGGACGACCCCGACTGCAGCTCTCAGCTACTGTTCCATAGCTTGTAAAGGACTCGGAAAAAAGACACAAAAAAGAACTATAAATAATTTACTTTTTATGAAGAGGCTTTGAGCAGGCTCGGCAGAAATATAATAATCATAGCAGAGGTGTAATTTGAAAGAAATACACTACTTTTTCAACGTCTGACAGATTTAAAACGAAAAAAAGAAAAAAAAAGGATGTTAGCAGTAAGTAACTTTGTGCCATGTTGTTTTGAATAGCACTTGCAGATATTTTCTCTAACCAAAGTATTGTTTAGAGGGGGGAAATGGTGCTTGAAATTTGAAATTAAAAAAGAAACGTTGTTTGGGAGCGTAGTAGTAGTTATATCTAGAAAGAGAGAGAGAGAAGAAAAAAATCCTTTTATGAAAAACACAAAACCCTTCTGTATGGTCATCGTGTTTGTTTTCCCATCGGCTTTCTTCAGAACGACACTAACACTTCTCATAAATATAACATTTTATTCCTTTCAAATACAATATATTTCTTGTACAAATATTGACAGTATTAATCTTATTTTTCTATTTTCGTACACATTATACCATTACTCTATAAGTTAGCATAATATAGGCTTGATGATAAGTAAAACGTTATTTTCCCAAGATGTGAAGCACATTTGTTTTCCTTTCCTACAGAGTTTAACTGTACCTTCTTTCTACAGAGGTTACCAAATACGCCATTATAAACACTAATAAATGGTTCTGGTCGGATTGGGGTGGATTTATTATTATTTTTGAGCCCAGATCCCGTTGGTTTCTGTGGTTTCGGGCTGCATCTTAAAAGCCCAGAATGTTCATTTCGTGACGTTTGCCGATGCCAATGTTGCCTGTATTTATGATATGACCATGTTTTCTGAAAACTAACATACTTACCATGTTTACAGAGAATCGTTTGCTGTATATAAATATATCTTTTTATAGTTCTGTGCTTTGCACAATCAAAAAATGTAGGTTCGTTGCTTCGTCCGTGTTTTTCCTCCCAAACTGTTTCGGCTTTTTTCTTTTTTTTTAAATATAAAACATCTTCAATGACCTTGGACTGTAACGCTCAACATTTCTCAGCTGTGTCAAAATGGTTTACTAGTGGCTTCAAAAAAATTAAAAGGAGTTAAAAAAAAAGAGAAAAAAAGAAAGAAATGATGTTGCCCTGACAGAAGATATGATGGGCGACTGCTTGGCTTATGTTGCTTATTGTTCACTAGAGCTGGCAACTGATTATTTCCAAGTGTACCAGCAATGCAAAAAATAAATATATAACATAACATCTGCTTTCATTTTGTCTTTGACTCAATTTGCATACAAACTGAGCTTTCACGTTTTGTGTCTCTGTAACGTTTGCTAATTCATGTTCTCAATTTTCTGTATTGCAGTTAAATCTGAAGGCCGGTACAACAATACCACCGTGATCTAGAAGTACTTCAATGACAGGAGTCTGATTTGCATTTTGTGCAGAATGGATTTACACATGGTATTTTATTTATGGCATTTATTATACATCGTATTAAAGTATAAATACTATGAAAATTATGTACATAAAAAAGCAAAAACATCTGAGATTCCTTTTGGCCAATGGGATTCTGTTTCCTTAAGGATTCTGTGATAGAAAGAAAAAATAAATATATATAAATATATATACAACTAAACATTAAGGCAGGCAAACATTTTTACAGAAACGTTTGGTGCCTAAATTTGGCACATGCATCACTCGTATTCGAATGTACATAACAACTGAGCCTTTGAGCAATATAATTTAATTTACAATATTCCCGTACAGAGAACGTCTAACTGACCGAGTCGTTTGCAGACGTCTGCGTCTCCTCCGGCATGATCTCTGTGCTCGCGTCAGCTATGGTTCCCAAATACACGATGTTCCGGTGCAAAATCTGCTGGTATCTGTGAAGCAGATGAAGTACATCCGTCATTAAAAGCACTAAAGCATATGAAGAGAACAGACGCATGAAACACACATACTGAACACACTCGGTGGCTCGGCCCTTCTGCTGATACTCTGTGATGCATCTCACCAGCTGATCGTTCTCGTCCAGCAGCTGCAAAACAGTGGCAATCAGTTAGTAGATTCACTTCAGGAATTTTTTTTTTATTATACACTTTAGTAGGTCAAGATTTTCTGCACCAGTTCATAACTATTTTAAAGCATCTTTCTGAACCTCTGACCCGATGCATGATACACTGACGAACATGAAAGATCACTGATCATGAATTACTTGGCTCATGCTACTCCTAAATTCTACATCATTTGTCGGGTCAGAGGTCACTCTACCGCCGCAACTAGACTCGCATGTGTGGGCGTTACCGGAAGCCAGTGATTATAGTTTATTATAAAGTTATAATTATGTAGATTTTTCTTTATAAAAGCGCATGGGTTTGCTACAGAAGGTCTTTATTAACCCCTAGAGCCGTACAGATTACTTTTATAATGGATGGATGTGGGGTTTTTTGGGCTTCAAAATCTTAGGTACCATTCACTACCATTATAAAGCTTGTAAAAGTCAGGATATTTTTATAACTGTGTTTGGTTGAAAGAAGAAAGTCATGCATGCACCTAGGATGGCTTGAGAGGGTGGGTAAATTGTGGTGTCATTCATTTGAGTAAACTATGCCTTTAGGTTGTACCCATCTCTTTTTTTTATATAATATGTGATTTAAACTTTTCACCATCTCCTTTTTTATATATACACAAGTGTATATATACACAAAATTTTCACTGAAAGATTTCTTTATTTTTCTGAAATGTTCTTGTTTTGCATTGCAGATTTTGGTTTATTTACAAGAACAAGTCTCCTCACTGTCTAGATTCTTCCATGTTAAAATTTTCCCATAATGTAAAATCTTTAACTCAATTTAAAATAACACATTTATTATATTATCTGCCATACTGATAAAGGCTTTCTTTGTTTAACTTTGTATTTTCCCTTTTTCGGATTTCAAATGCAGTGTTCTCAAGTCCTTGCCTAGCTTAACAAGTTAATTTAATTAAAGTTTTTTTTTTTAGAGAACAAAATCAAAACTAGGGATTTTAATACAAACACATTTCAGTTAATTTGTGTTGTTTGAAACATATTTTACCATTTATATTTTACTCGCTTTGGAATTGATCAGTAAATGTACATCAGTAAATGTAAAACGTTCGCGTTCACACTGCAGCAAACAGAAGTGGCGCGAATTTAAAGTTTAAATCTTAACGAACATGTTTTCAACTAAACCTGCGTGAACGCGCATAACGGACAACTGAAGAAGATCAGATCACTCCGATGAAAGACAGAAACGGACTGGATCTACAATCTTTATATTGAATTTAGCCAAATATCTGCATCTCCGTAAGTTACCAAAAACACACACAACACATACGAGACACACATAAATGGCGTAACTAACGTTAGTTGTCCAGTACGGTTCCGTCATTTCCGTGTGTGTCCTGAAAACATACCGTAATAACGTTAGCAGCTATATGGCTGAGGTCGTTTGTAGAAAGCAGCTGTTTCTCGCGTAAATAACAGAACTGTGTGTGTGTGATAACGAATTAAGCACTGAGTTCAAATGTTTACTCACTCTTTGAATGATATCCTGGTTGATTTGCGCTTTTCCGCGCTGCCGTTTGGGAACAAAAACAACAGACATTTTCACGGGCTCGAAAACTTATAAGCGCCTCACACGGTTATATTCAGCTCAAAAGGGCTTCTGCAGAGTGCAGACGAGAAACCGCTTCAGAAATCCCAAACCTAGAGCAACAAATCGATGAATATCAACATTATGTGATCAACAACAGTCTCCATCAGAGCGATTCGCTTCTTCTGTGTGGTTCGGATCTTTTAGTGACTCGGTTCACTACTGACCTCTTCCGGCCATTTTTACAGCACTGACGCGTTTTCTTTATTCATACCGAGTACAAAAACAAGCTCACCAAGTTGATACAAAATACTATGTTATTTATTACGCGTTGCTTCTGTTTTGTCATTAAGTTAAATAGCCTAATTTAATACAATAAAAATCCCAAGATATCATCTAAACTGATATCATATTTCTTAAAGTCCCCGTGAAATCAAAATTGAACCTATTTACTTTGTTAGAGCATATTACTAGTCTTGTGGTGAACAATTAATCCGTGCAAGTAAAAATATATTTAAAAAATGTTTTACCTTAGTAATCTTTAATCAAAATCTGAAAAGTTACTTCCGGTCTGGAACGGTTTCTTTTTCTGATGACGTAGGTTTCACAACTTGGGTGGGGAAACGCTTAACCACTCCCCTCAAACCGTTAGTTTACTATGAGCGAAAGATGGAGAGGAGGAGCGCTAGAGTAAAACCCTGCCCTCTGTTCAATATTCCGTTTCACTTGGAAATACGTCACAGCACTGGAGAAAAATCTTTTGCAACTTCCGGTTCACGGGGACTTTAAGCTCTGCAACTTTCTTTGAAAAAGGTTTAAAATGAATTTAAAGAATTAAATGCCAAATGAATTCTAAAATGTCTAATATCTTAGCTTTTGGCTTCTCAGAAACTTCTTCAAACAGGGTATTCAAAATAACTTCTGACCCTATAGCGCCACCAGAAGTTGTTTGATACGTGTGTACAGTACATTATGATTGTAAAGCTTCGTTATGAAGGTACAAATCTTTCTGTAACAGTGTATAAAACTAGTTTAAATTTCTTGAAATAATGAATCATTTCGAAAAAACTTTTTTTCTCGATTAAGTCGAGACTAAACTGACTTTATGCAGTCTCGTTAACGAAAAAATAAAATACGTTGAACATCTAAAACCATAAAATTAGTCTTTTTTTTTTCCAGAAGAGATCTTGTAGGTGTGTTTTTTTTTTTTTTTTGCATAGAGTAAATATCGCCTATGGGTTCATGTATGTGTTCATAACCACAGGTGGAGGGATCGTTTCCATCTCTCCTGAAGTGCTCATCGCTGTGGGATGCTGTCTGGGTAATGTGCTGGTGAACCAAAACCCCTTTCTGAACCAAACCCCTTTCTGCTTGATCGTGTCTCTGGCGATGGCAGATTTCCTGGTCGGGGCCGTGGCCATTCCTCTGGCTGTGGTTGTAGACGTCCATGAGAAGATCCCTTTCCATGTCTGTCTGTTCATCCGCTGTGTCCTGAATACGGCGAATTCAGGTGAGTCAGCCTACGGATGATTTTGAATGGCTTTAACCCTTTCATGCATGAATTGTGACATTGTGACATTGGATCACTGGAAGTCCTGCCCTTAGGACCCTATTGATATGTTTTCTAACTTTTGTACTTTTACAGTTTGTAGGATGTCTAAGAAGCAAATGTTGATGATCCCTACCTGAAATAACTATCTATCCATCATAAAAGTGCATCTGTCCATCATAAAAGTGCATCTGTCCATCATAAAAGTGCATCTATCCATCATAAAAGTGCATCTATCCATCATAAAAGTGCATCTGTCCATCATAAAAGTGCATCTGTCCATTACTACTACTAAGTTTGTGCTCCTATTTTTAAGACAATTTTGACCACTATAGTCCTGTACGTAATTTTTTTTGATGCACAAGGGTTAAAATAATATAACAATAAAAATGCTATTATTGATAAAAAAACAAGGACAGGATACTGAACAACTATTTCTTTATTTCTCTTGTTGATTAAAAACCTTAGTTCGCCCCGTCTAAAGCCGTCTACGAGCACACCGTGTACAACTGCTTTAATTCAGGAAAAAACAAACAAAAGAATAAACGTGCCAATCATATTCCTCCAGACGACTGACCACAATAATCACATCACTCTTCTGCTGTCCAGTTTAAACTCTCGATCGATCGACTTCATGGCGATATCAGGCCTGAGAATTCATTTCACATCTCAGCACCGATATCTGTGGTTCACTCAGAGGTTTCCCATCATGCCCTGGTTTCACTAACTGCCTGCGGGACATCTCTAGCCTGGATGCCAGCCCGAACTCCTCCCACAGCATTTTTTGGACGGGAAGTTCGGTCTGGACCATAGACTGTAAATTATGGAGTAATCCATTGAGAAGTAATTATGATCGGTTCAGAAATCATCGGGCCAATCAAATTGCCAGGGCGGGCTTTATACGATGATTGACAGGTGGTCTTCAGTAACCTAATCCTCACGTCATCAAAGTGCGCTTGTCAAAGATGACTGCAGCTGGAGAATTGAGATGTATAGATTCGTAGCAGTGATGCGCGGGTTGATCCGAAATGAGCGGGTGCCTGCGGTCACCCGCGGTTACCCGCAGTTACGGGTCATCCAAAAATGTTTTTAATGATATTCGGGTCGCGGTCGGTCGGGTCGTTTGAAAAAAGATGCCAATTAAACATTTGTATTAGTACTAGACACAATTTTTGATGAAATATACAGCCCTACACATTATTGGCTGAATAACTGGCACGAAGATAACACACGAGCTCAGTCTAACAGTTCTCGGTTAGTGATTCGAGAACCGCTGTCCCTGTGCGTTCGGTAGTGAGCAGTATCAGCTGCTCGTGCTCATCACTTTCTCTCAACAGTGGCACCAACATGTCTCGGTTCAGTGAACTGTTGGAGTTACTGGAGTAAAATATAATTCAGGATATTGATTTATTTCGATTCGGAGGCGACTCAGGCATGTCTGAAAGTGAGTAACTTTAGTAACTTGTGGATCAGCACCTCTATGATCAGCACTGACGCAAGACGCGAACTGTTTCGAACGATTCAGTTCGAGTGTACTGATTCGACCGGTTCACTAAAAAGAACCGGTTCAAAAGAACGATTCGTTCACGAACCGGCCATATCTGCGATGATCACTACAGTCTGCAGAGAGATGGAGGCATGAGCATTTACTTTTAAATAATGCGGTCAGGAAGCGGGTCGGGTACAATGTTTTTTTATACTTTTTTTGCGGTCCGAGTTGCGGGCGGGTAGCTGAAAACGTCGGTCGGTTGCGCCGGGTTGTTTATACATTGACCCGCGCATCACTGATTCGTAGTGCTTTTAAAGGGAGTGGTTTATAGCTAATACTAGTAGAGATGGCAAACTCTGGGGACAGACATGAGAAAATAAAGCTGACCCAGCTGAGAGAGAGCACTTCTCCTCCAAAGGTTATCCGTAATTCGGTCTTTGGATCTCTGAAACACAAATTTAGAAATATGAACGGACCCCCTGTTACTTGAGAACAACTGGTTTTCACAGAAGAAAGCCCTGTCTATGCAGATCGAAAAATCAAGCTGAATTCTTTAGTTTTTTTTTTTTTTGTTTGAAAAAATTAAAAGGAACTTTCCTTCTTTTTCTTTTTTACTTTCAATATTTTCTCTGTTCTACTGTCCACATTTATAATGCTCTTAAATGATAAAAGTCATGTAGCAGTTAAATGTGATTGGCAGAATCCACTAATGTGATACACTTGCAGCTAAGAGTGTGAGTCGAAACCTTTTGTGATCAAACTTATTTACATCTGTGTGGTTTGATCTGATGGGTGGACAACAGTGATGCGCGGGTTGATCCGAAATGAGCGGGTGCCTGCGGTCACCCGCGGTTACCCGCAGTTACGGGTCATCCAAAAATGTTTTTAATGATATTCGGGTCGCGGTCGGTCGGGTCATTTGAAAAAAGATGCCAATTAAACATTTGTAGATATAGTACTAGACACAGTTTTTGATGAAATATACAGCCCTACACATTATTGGCTGAATAACTGGCACGAAGATGACACACAAGCTCAGTCTAAACAGTTCTCGGTTCTATACTAGTGATTCGAGAACCGCTGTACCTGTGCGTTCGGTATGCGCAGTATCAGCTGCTCGTGCTGATCACTTCTCTCAACAGTGGCACCAACATGTCTCGGTTCAGTGAACTGTTGGAGTTACTGGAGTAAAATATAATTCAGGATATTGATTTATTTCGATTCGGAGGCGACTGTCAGGCATGTCTGAAAGTGAGTAACTTTAGTAACTTGTGGATCAGCACTGACGCAAGACGCGAACTGTTTCGAACGATTCAGTTCGAGTGTACTGGTTCGACCGGTTCACTAAAAAGAACCGGTTCAAAAGAACGATTTGTTCACGAACCGGCCGTGTCTACGATGATCACGACTACAGTCTGCAGAGAGATGGAGGCGGCAAGAGAAAAGGTGAAGACTGGGGAGTGGAAGCTCCGCAAATACACAAATAGAAAGAGTAAAAGTGTGGGAGACATTTGCTGAAATAATGAAAGATGATGACCAAAGTGCTGGCTTTTCCTTTGTTATGTGTAGGCCTACGTCTTCTTGCGATGCTGTGTTGTTACACGTCTATATGGCCCAATAACGCTCGATGAGCATTTACTACTTAAAAAAAATGCGGTCAGGAAGCGGGTCGGGTACATTTTTTTTTTTTTTACTTTTTTTTGCGGTCCGAGTTGCGGGCGGGTAGTTGAAAACGTCGGTCGGTTGCGGGTTGTTTACATTGACCCGCGCATCACTGGTGGACAAACCGAAAGTAGGCCTGCTCTACTATTTCTGCCATGTTACTGCTTATAGCCACTAGATGGAGATCCAGGAGTGTCATTTGTGTTAGGAGAACCCTGGCTTGCTCGTTATTATAACAGCATACTAAAAGTGAGTTGTGAAAATTAGAAATATCTGTAATTTACTGACTCCCCCTCAGGTTATTCCAAACCTTTATCAATTTAGTTGTTCTGTTGAAAACAAAGGAAGATATTTTGAAGAAAGTTTGTTTAAAAAAAATTGTGACAAAATTACAATCCCTTCAGACACCTCACAAATCCTAACAGATCTTATGGGGACTTTCTTCAAAATATCTTCCTTTGTTTTCAACAGAACAACTAAATTGATAAAGGTTTGGAA